TAACAAGTTTGGTGTCTCTAGATCAAACTCTCACCACCACTTGTCCAAAGTTTAACTCATGTTTACGATAATAACTTTTGAACCATATAAGGCTTAGAGACAAAATTCTTTTTTTTCTCCGATTCCTTGTCTCAGTACAATTCCGGCCCAAAAAATGGCTATATTTGGCCAAAAAGTATAGAACGGGTCTTGCAAAAGTTCATGTATTTCAGTAATTCAAATTAAAAGGTGAAACTAAGTGTATATATATACTTTTCAGAGGGCCGACATTTCTGTATTTAAAATCCTTTTTTTTATTGATTTCATGTAATGTTCTAATTTTCTGAGATTTTGAATTTGGGGTTTTCATAAGCTGTAACCATAATCATCAAAATGATAAATTTTGCACGATATTCTAATTTTTCGAGTTTCACCTGTATATTTGATTTGATTTGAAATCTTTATATCGAACATGAAAGAAAAGTATATAAAAAATAAAATAAAACAATGTTTAAAAACAACAACAGATGAGCAGCAAACAAAGTACCCTACTTTCCTGTGTTAACATACTTCTATCACATGTGCGAAAAGGAGTAGGAAGAAGTAAAACTTATGTACTCCTACCCCTTTAACTCTACATTCCTTCAATTAACAATTTTTATATTATTATTATGTTGTTATATACATTTATATACTGGTATATATATATATATATATATATATATATATATATATATATATATATATATATATATATATATATATATATATATATATATATATATACACACACACACACACACACACACACACACTCTCCAACAAGTCCTCCAACCCATACGACCATTTAGGTCGTTTGTGACTACCTTCAAATACGACACATAAGAGCGTTTCCTAAATTTGCGCCCCTACCGGCAGCTGGAGATATGGAGAAATGCATTATAAACCTCAATGCATTATGGGTTATTTTTATCTACCTGCTAACGTTACCAGTTTACGTCAAACTCTCCCAGCTATTCAAAGTAGTTTATTGCTATAAAAATATATCTTTTTGATGACTTCATCACACGTACAGGTAGGGTTTCCATCCGTATATAGTCCCGTGTTTATGAATTAAATGATGTCGTGTTTCAAATCGGTATTTATATTTCAAGCTGTGTGACGTTCATTCAAACGCACGCCAGCATTATAAAGTTAGTTTTCATTGTGACATTCAAACATTGAAATTTGCCTGTGTTGGGAAAGGTATCATGCAAAAAGTCCACACATTTACTATGTTTTACCAGTAACTGTCGATCCTATGTCATGTGTAGTAAAAGCACAGTAACGTTATACCATGCTTCTTCCACCGTAACTGTAACCGAGGTAACCACACTTACAATGCTTTTACCACAGTAACTGTGTTTGTATTGTGTACTATTGTAGTTAAAGCACAGTAACACAAGACTTAACATGTTTTTTTTTTTACCAGTTACTGTAGTTGTAATGTGGTATTTGTAATTAAACACAGTAATTTACCATGATTTTACCACAGTCTGTGTTTTTACTGTCTACTATTTGTAGGTAAAGCACAGTAACCACAGCACTTGCCATGGTTTTACCACAGTAACCACAGTTTTACTGTGGTATTTGTAGTTGAAACAGTAACACAACACTTACCATGGTTTTACCACAGTAACCATAGTTTTACTGTGGTGTTTATAGTTGAAACAGTAACACAACACTTGCCATGGTTTTACCACAATAATCACAACACTGGCCATGCATTTAATACCTTTTTGTAATATAATTGTAATTCAATATTCTTTTTCTGTCTTGCAGTTACTTCAGATCACATACTCCTCCATCTCCCACAACCATCTCCATCTCTCTCTCTTTCAGTTTTTTTTTACTGTAATTAATTTACACATTTTTTTGCTCTCTTTCTTTCTCTTCTTCATCATGGAATATTTTTAAAAATAAAAATTTGATCAATTCTGTCAGAAAGCTGCTATTAACAGGGAACTTGAACTCAAAGCTCCCAGTGCTGATCTTGAAGAAGCTGCCAGGGAGGCTGAACAGGTCCTTCAAATTAGGTAATGTTGAACACATTTAGTTATAGCTGATTTGCTTTAATGAATGTATCCTTATTTTATGTTTTATTAACTTTCCTTAAAGTCCTTCCTCTCAAATAATTTGGTCACGGATCATTTTTAACACACTGTCTCAACATGTATATATAATTCTCTTTGTTTCAGCTGAAAAGGAAGTGCTGTCAAGGGCTTGTTAAACCTGTCTTCGTGGAGAGGGATGAATTCGGCCATCTTGTGTGTTTATGGAGAAGGAAAAAAGCTGCAAAGGCAAATGTTTCCAATGGTATGTCTGTGTTGGTCTTAACCCTTGATTGAATATTACTGCAGTTACATTTTGCACAGCATTTGATGTTTCTTAAACTTTGTTTTACATACTACACTACCCCATCAGTAAGAACCCACAATGAAGCGTCATGTTGATGTAGTAATAGTTCATACAATTGACCAAGTCAGCAAATTCATATGATATTATGCAAGTGCACTCGTACAAAATTCTATGACTTTTACTCCAGCTGCTGTCATTGGCCATTGCCTCAACTCTCTTGCAGATTGTAAGTAGTTGGACCGTTTATATCAGAAAGTTCATATCAAATCCATTGTATTCTTTATTAACCTTTACATATTGGCGCCGTCTCTTCTCGTACCAACAGTACATGATATCTTTCCACATGTTGATTTTAATTGACCACATCTGTTTAAGAAGCAAGAGTCTGGAAATGCTAGTTTAACAAGTTACGTGACACATCAGATCTTCAAATAACTTGTCCTAATCAGATCACTTAAACAATTAGTTCACCCAAAAATGAAAATTCTGTCAGTAATTGCTCACCCTCATGTTGTTCCAACCCGTAAGACTTTCATTCATCTTCAGAACACAAATTAAGATATTTTTGATTAAATCTGAGAGCTGTCTCACTCCTCCATAGAAGCTAAGGGATCGAAACTTGCCGGCCTAGAAAGTTAGAAAAGACAATGTTTAAAATAGTCCAAGTGACTACAGTGGCTCAACCTTGAGTTTATCCAGCGACGAGAATACTTTTTGTGCGCAAAAATAACGACTTATTTAATTCTTCATTTTCTTTTCTGTGGGCCTCTGAGTGAGTTTACGTAGTGTAACAGCGCAGCGCTTCTGTGTTGTACGTCAGAACGTAGGCTCGCTATTGGCCGACGCAGGTCATGTGTGTGATGTGTGTGACGTACAGCACAGAAGTGCTGCGCTGTTACACTACGTGGCTCACTCAGAGGCCCACAGAAGAAAATGAAGAGTTGAATAAAGTCATTATTTTTGCTTGTTTTTGCGCACAAAAAGTATTCTTGTGGCTTGATAAACTTATGGTTGATTGACGAAAGTCTTACGGGGTTGGAACTTGGAACAACATGAGAGTGAGTAATTACTGACAGAATTGTCATTTTTGGGTGAACTAACCCTTTAAGTTCGTTCATAACACCAATAACAATAACTATAATGATAAATATTCTAAAATCCACAACAAACGGACGATAAAGTTCTGTTTATTATCAAAAGTGCGTGCTGTGGTAATGTTGTCTGCCATTTTAAGTGCTTAAGCTTTTTAAAGTCGAGTAGATTCTGATTGGCTGTCAAAATTTTTATAGTTCATCAGCTGGAAAAAACAACATTTCTGAAAGTGATTCCAACGAAATTGTTCCTCTGTGTCGTTATATGTTAAATAGCTGCAGTGTGGGCTCATCCTTTGTGTGAAGAGGCCTTTAAACTGCTTACAACAATACTGGCAGCAAGTAATCATGTTTAAAGGAATTCATTTATTAATATAGCTTGCTATTGAAGATACAGCTTTTTCTAGTACCACCTTTCTCTCATTATTAAAACTTACACCCAAAATTCTGCCCATCTCAGTTCCTGTCTTAATGTACATGTTTAAACAACAATAGTATTTAAACATGGGTTCAATAGACATTTCTTGTTTTACAGCTGAAAAAGAGCAACCCAGGCAAACCAGTATTCACCAGGACAACCAGTCCTGTTGGGGATGAGAAATGAACATGGCCTTCTCATGTATTCATAGATACTCATACATACATGTTTATAGCTGGAAACTACTTTATATGGTGAGTACTGACAGTTTTTCTGGAGTTATTATTAAATTGTTGTTTTGTCTGATTGTTTGAAGGAGGATGAAGCCAGTTGATGAAGAAATAGGCATGTTGCACTAGTTTTAAATACATTATTAATTTGTTATGACTGCTTGTATTATGTTCTCATTTTCTACTTGTACAGAAAGACTACTGACTACATCAAGAGGTAGAGGAGCCGATAGCTGGCACTGAACACACTCAATGCTCAGGTCCGTCTTCACGCAGTTGGTCAGTTCACATGGTCCAGACTAAGGAGAAATGGGTCTGAGGCCAGAGATGGAGTTTTTGTTGACAGGAGACGATTCTGTGGCCACCAAGTGCAGCACTGCGTCAGTTATCCACTGTGAAGAATACATTCCAGCTCTACATTGACAGGTCAGAGTTACGGCCCATGGAATCAATGGTAAGTCTAGTGCAGGGGAAGGCAAGTTCGGTCCTAGAGAGCCGCTGTCCTGCAGAGTTTGGCTCCAACACTCAGAAAAACCTCACCTGCCTATAGCCTTAGTAATCCTGAAGACATTGATTAGCTTGTTCAGGTGTGTTTGATTAGGGTTGGAACTAAATTCTGCAGGACAGTGGCTCTCTAGGACCGAACTTGCCTACCCCTGGTCTAGTGCAACAATTTTAAATAATACTATTATATATGGTTTGCTGTTTTACCACCTCCTAAATACATATTTTCTTTGGTTAGAACTTCACCCATCCACCCTGATGCTGTGCTGAAGAAGGCTTATCAGTGTCTTTTCTTCCTCAGACAGCTGAGGAAGTTCAGTGTGAGCACCAAAACCCTCAAATCAACCCTCAATTTTACACTGTGGAGAGGATCCTGACTGGATGCATCACTGCAAAGCTCTACGAACTGCACAGAACACTGTTGGAGGTGAGCTTCCCTCCCTCCAGGACAAGGGAGTGTGTGAGGAAACTTCCCTTCCTACAGGTGTGTGTGAGGAAAGCACGGAGAATCCAGACACCCGAGCCATGGACTGCTCTCACCGTTACCATCAGGCAGAGGTTATCGTAGAACCCGCACCAGCAGACTGGACTCATACCAGTAAAACACACAGCAACCCCCACCCCCCAACCTCATATGCTCTACATTTTTTCAATTACACTGACTGGACTCTTACTCAGTATTATTCTGGACCCTGACATTCTATTTTCACTCATTCATACCGTACTGCACTGTATATGTATACTGTGATTATTTTGTTTGTTATTTTTTTCATTTTTCAATCTGTGTATAGTATAATATTGTACCATATATTGTTCTCTACTTGTATTGAGTCCCTAACATATACTGTGTATATTAATACTGTATGTGTTGTGTAAATATTCTATACTTGTCATCCATACTGTCATTCTGCAGAGTTTGCAAAAAAGAATTTCATCACCTGTACACACTTGGGTTCATGGTTTTGTGACAATAAAATTATTTGATTTGATCACATCTTTTGTCCATCATTTGTACTGTACTGTGCTCGATAACAATTGCAAATTGATTATATACATGGAAGAATATTTTGATAGGGAGATAAATATCATGATTATAACAACCCTTTTTTATTTCTCTCAAATATCATAAGTCTTTATATGCTACTTTAGCTGTATTTATGCTGTATTATCCAGTAAAGTTTTGTACATGGTGTTGGATAAAAACATATGGTGAATATTATTTATATACATGGAAGAAGATTTTGATAGGGAGATAAATATCATGATTATAACAACCCTTTTTTATTTTTTCTCTCAAATATCATAAGTCTTTATATGCTACTTTAGCTGTATTTATGCTGTATTATCCAGTATAGTTTTGTACATGGTGTTGGATAACAACATATGGTGAATATTATTTATTAAGGATTGTGTTTGGTAAATATACAATTAGATTTTGTAATAAGACATAATAACCATGATTGTTTTAATTGAGACATGAAGATTTATCATATTAATGACATTTGGGACAATCATTTGCTAGAATGTTACCATTGTATATGTTTTAGGACTTAGATGTTGTGTCAAATACAGTAAATATGCCAAATTTCAGTTACATGAAGTGAAAGGCTGAAAGATGCATCACAAGAGACTGCATGGGCTATATTGTTATGGGCACTTCAGGCATACTGAGGATGATGTACCAGGGAAAGATCAACATGGATCCTGTACTATAAGCAGGATGAGCATTCAAATTTCTGATGTCCAGAACTTTTACATTATGATGCTTTGCAGTGCATTCATTTTTTGTTAAGACTTTTGAGCCATAAGTTACACACTGTGTGTGTACTTGGACAGTATGCCATTCAGTAAAACAATGTTGTACAATGAAGTGTCACAAGTGTATTGGTTGTTTAAATTGATGTCTTTGTTCATTGTCAACACTATTCTTATAGTATGTTTACATAATGATGTTGACTTCACTTTTAAAAAAAATAATATATATATATATGAAAAGGTGGTATAAAGGCGTTTTAAAAAGTGCTTATAGTAAAATACCAAATTTTAGCCTGCCTCTCAAATATGTCTTAGAGGGTTTCACAATGACCATGATTAGATATCCCTATGTTCAGTAAAGATAGTATTTTTTTTTTATTTCTTTATTAAACGTTTTAAACTACATTACCCATGAGCCTCTATCATTATAAGCTATTTGGCAATAGTCTTTGTTTGTAGTTCAGTTAACTTATACTTAGGGTTAGGATCTCGGTAAAGGGGTAATTCCTCACAACAAATCAACACCACATTGTTAACTTTATGTATTACTGACGTAATTATAACAGCAAAACGTACTTTGCAACATTAAACGTTAAGTAATATGGGTTTAAAGATTGTCCAACCACAGCCAGTCCTGTAGGTGCCAAGGAAATGTCAAAGCCAATGACAACCCAGTTGAGCAGATGCGTCACACTTAATTGTCCATATATGGTCATTTATGACAGGATCTTCCAGGTTCTTGTGGTGAATGGACAAATTAAACATTTATTTGTCCCCATTAAATATAAAACTAAAATGACAGATTGCATTGCATAACCCGATGCAACAATAGATTACACGCAATAGAAAAATGTTGCAGTTGGATACTGTATGACAAATAAGTATTAAAATAATTCAAAAAGTTTCATTTGCTTACAAAAAACTAATCCTCTGATAATTATTCAAGCATTCAGTATTTCTTAAACAAAGATAAGTTCAGCTACTATTCAAATGAAGTAATTCTATAACATTTACAATGTATTAAAGGTATATAATTATTTAATCACTTCTGTGTTTCCAGGAAATGGACCCCATTACCATTATTAGCTAGTATAAATATAGGAATAAAAAAAAAAAAGCTCAAAAAAAGCATAATGAATGGACACATTTTGTAGTAATTTCCCAATGTTTATTTATATGTCAAACTGTTTAAATACAAAGATAAGCGCCAAGCACAGCATCCTCTGTCACACAGGTACTTCTCCAGTTTGCGCCACTATGTAGAAAAGAAAACAAAAAAATAGGTTGGTTATATAAAAAAATATCTGCATTGAGGTAATCAATTATAGTGAAAAATAGAAAACTCTTAAAAAAAACACTGATTGATAAAGTAACTGATATGTAACCGAAACCCCTTTAAAACAACAATGAATAGTATTTAACATGTAATTTTGATTGGCATTTCAGATGGATGGAGAAAACTGAACTGGAATGATATATGTAAGGGATAATGTGTAAGGGACATTATCCCGCTTATTACATGGCTACCTACCAAATAAATCAATAATTTGACTCAAAATATTGATTTAAAAAGGAGTTTATTGATTTAAAAATGATTGTATTGCTTCCGCTAAAGAAAATAGCGTTTAGCGCTACGTCTCTACGGTTAGAATCCATTGCAACGCTCTGTTTTTCATGGCAACGGTGTGTTATACTTAGCAGCGGTCTGTTTTCAAGAAACAACAGACCGCATTCTACATTACAATTCAACCAAGCCATGTAATAAATTTATATATATATATATAATTACATATTATGCAATTCAATAACATTAAGTTGAAACAATTAAGGAAATAATATTAAAAAGAAAGAAAATAGGTTATTTTTACATTACCATTCCCCCCCTCTTTCTCTGTGTTGGCAAGTAGAATACAGTGGGAGGGATGGTGACAGGAGTGCTCACAGTAGAATCTGAGTGTTCAGATTCTACTGTGAAGAAATTATTACAAGTAGACATGGTCAGAGTGGAAATTAGCAATAAGAGTGAAGAAGGGCTGAGAGCAGATGTGCCACACAAGACCGAGAGCGATGTGGAAGCTTTTGGATGGGTTGGGTCTTAAAAGAGCCATTGGGTTTGATATTGTAGAGAGCTGAAGGAGTTTGATATTGTAGAGAGCTGATCGAGCAGGACTAAGTAATTTGTGACAAATCCTGCAAGAAAGGACAAAAGAGAATTTTATTAAATCACATGATGAACTATAAAAACACTGACAACCAATCAGGATCTATCCAACTTTAACCGTTTGTTGTGGATGTTAAAATAGTTATCATTATAGTTATTGTTATTGGTGTTATGAACGAACTTAAAGGGTTAGTTCACCCAAAAATGACAATTCTGTCAGTAATTACTCACTCTCATGTTGTTCCAAGTTCCAACCCCGTAAGACTTTCGTCAATCAACCATAAGTTTATCAAGCCACAAGAGTACTTTTTGTGTGCAAAAACAAGCAAAAATAATGACTTTATTCAACTCTTCATTTTCTTCTGTGTGGGCCTCTGAGTGAGCCACGTAGTGTAACAGCGCAGCGCTTCTGTGTTGTACGTCACACACATCACACACATGACCTGCGTCGACCAATAGCGAGCCTACGTTCTGACGTACAACACAGAAGCGCTGCGCTGTTACACTACGTAAACTCACTCAGAGGCCCACAGAGAAGAAAATGAAGAGTTAAATGAGTCGTTATTTTTGCGCACAAAAAGTATTCTCGTCGCTGGATAAACTCAAGGTTGAGCCACTGTAGTCACTTGGACTATTTTAAACATTGTCTTTTCTAACTTTCTAGGCCGGCAAGTTTCGATCCCTTAGCTTCTATGGAGGAGTGAGACAGCTCTCAGATTTAATCAAAAATATCTTAATTTGTGTTCTGAAGATGAATGAAAGTCTTACGGGTTGGAACAACATGAGGGTGAGCAATTACTGACAGAATTTTCATTTTTGGGTGAACTAATTGTTTAAGTGATCTGATTAGGACAAGTTCTTTGAAGATCTGATGTGTCACGTAACTTGTTAAACTAGCATTTCCAGACTCTTGCTTCTTAAACAGATGTGGTCAATAAAAATCAACATGTGGAAAGATATCATGTACTGTTGGTACGAGAAGAGACGGCGCCAATATGTAAAGGTTAATAAAGAATACAATGGATTTGATATGAACTTTCTGATATAAACGGTCCAACTACTTACAATCTGCAAGAGAGTTGAGGCAATGGCCAATGACAGCAGCTGGAGTAAAAGTCATAGAATTTTGTACGAGTGCACTTGCATAATATCATATGAATTTGCTGAATTGGTCAATTGTATGAACTATTACTACATCAACATGACGCTTCATTGTGGGTTCTTACTGATGGGGTAGTGTAGTATGTAAAACAAAGTTTAAGAAACATCAAATGCTGTGCAAAATGTAACTGCAGTAATATTCAATCAAGGGTTAAGACCAACACAGACATACCATTGGAAACATTTGCCTTTGCAGCTTTTTTCCTTCTCCATAAACACACAAGATGGCCGAATTCATCCCTCTCCACGAAGACAGGTTTAACAAGCCCTTGACAGCACTTCCTTTTCAGCTGAAACAAAGAGAATTATATATACATGTTGAGACAGTGTGTTAAAAATGATCCGTGACCAAATTATTTGAGAGGAAGGACTTTAAGGAAAGTTAATAAAACATAAAATAAGGATACATTCATTAAAGCAAATCAGCTATAACTAAATGTGTTCAACATTACCTAATTTGAAGGACCTGTTCAGCCTCCCTGGCAGCTTCTTCAAGATCAGCACTGGGAGCTTTGAGTTCA